AATAATAATAATAATAATAATAATAATAATAATAATAATAATAATAACAATAATAATAAAAAAACATCAGCAAAATACAGCAACAGGCACATATATTTAGTTAGGTAGGAGCTCCAAATATAAAAAAAATAAGAAAGAAAACAGTAAACACATTTTTGCATAATATTTGATATGCTTCTATATAAGGCTTTTGAACACGGTCACGTGATCGCGCAACCAGGAAGTAGCTCTCCTTCCAGGTTCGGCCGGGCAGCCGTTTGTTGTGTCCGTGAGGAGGCAGCTAACCCCGCAGAGGCCGGATGACATCAGCGGACTGAACCAGCTCGCGTTTGGTGCCTTTTACCCGAAGACTGGAACTATCTTTGTCAGTTTACAGAAATGGGTCCCGGTTAGATCTGCATTTATTCAGGAAAATACCGTGGACTGCGGGGGTTTTTGAGTCCGGGTCGGAGCGCTACGGCCCGCGGAGGATCGCAGCAGCGTCCGGACGGAGCCCACCGAGCCCACCGCTATTGTGTGTTCAGACGGGATTGTCGCATCGTTCAAATTCCGTAAGTGCTTTTTCACAGTGACACGGTGGAATAGGTGGTTTAATGGCAAGAGAGTGTTAGTTTTTACGCCATGTCACGCTGTTATTTGTGCACAAACACGTCGCCGTTTCGAACAGTTTCGTTTCTGCTGCTGTTAGCATGTGGCTAATGACATTAGCTGCCCGGAGATCGTGGGAGCGCTTGATTTGATGACCTGATACAAGCTCTAAAGGAAGACACAACGCGCAAAGGATATCTAGTCTATAAATAGGTTACCTTTTTACTTCAATAGTGAACAATGTGGTGGTTAGGAGAGAATTCCGTGTTAGATAGAAGTGCCTCGACGGTTGATAAAGTCGTTTGGGTCCGACGGTTTGTGGCCGTTGGCGATTTTTGAAAACATTCCCATTACTCAGTTTGTTGATATTATTACGTATCTATCCTTCTGATTCGATTGTCAAAGCCATTTCCCACAGCAGTGTGTTAGACAAGCATCACTCCGAGATGCGTTAAGTGTGTTCAATATCTCAAGACACGTGGTAAGTGTAAACAGTGGGCCATAAAACAAACGAACCTCGGCTAGTTCGCTGGTTGCTAACGTAGGAACCCAGAGGAGATGAAGCCGCCTTAAGCTAGCTAACGATCGGAGTAAACACTGCCTAAATCGGATTAATGATTAGCCGATAAAAATCGATCATTTCTGTGTTGGTTATTGTTTTTAATTTCCCTGACCGAATGAGCACTCCCGTGTCACCAGTGAAATAAAAGAAAACTGGGCTAAGCTCCTTTAAAAAAAAAAAAAAAGTATAAAACATAATAGCTTTGTTCCCTTTTGAGAAGAGCATTGTAATTTGAAACCTGTTCCTAATTGGCTTCAGTAAACCTTCCTGTTTGTTTGGCTGCATTAGCCTGTAATCCAGGGAAGGTAGATTTTAGTAATTAGGTTAATAAACAACCTGAGCAAATATATGATGCACATGTAATTAATTTAATTTAAATGTTACCATGTGCTTATAAGACCTGTCTCCATCTCCTGCTTTAGGTCCCAGTCCCTTGCCCACCCTGCTGATTCTGTTCTGGGAGAGTTCAGACCAGTATCGTCGCCAAGATAGCCGGGCCAGGCAGGAAGCGGCACACCTCAGATCCAGACCCCAGCAGCGGCAGCGACTCCGGCGACGGGCGGCCCGTCAGCGCCAAGTGCCTGAAGATGGCCAGCAGCGGAGGCGGCGAGGCGCCCGGCCGCCGCGGCGGGGCTCAGCAGAGGGGGGGCGGCGGCGGCTCCGACCCGGCCTCCAGCACCAGCAAGAAGAAGCAGAAGGACCGGGCCAACCAGGAGAGCCGGGAGGCCAAGAGGGCGGCCGCGGCCGTGGACGGCGTCCTGGCAGAGGTCAAGAAAGGTAAGATCTCATAAAGTAAATAACTCATCTGTGTTTGAACTGATAATGCATTTTACACACACACATTTTTGTACTATTACTCGGGAGGTTCCGTTTCAGCTTTTTGCATTTTCCGGCCTATCAGAGCATGTACTAAAGTTTAAAGTTATTTATCTACTTACTTAGTTCTCAGACTCATGTTGAACAGGGATTTACTCTGATACTGATAACAACTTAATGGTTAGGACACAGACCTGTGGGTTAGCAGATGCTAATGCTAATGCTCGTGTGGGATCGGACTTTTAAAAAAATGGATCTGGAGTCTGGATCTGCATTTTCTCCTGCCGGTCTATACGCATTTTTTTGCAAACATCTGCAGATTCGATCCAGATATCGGATCGGGACGAGCCTAACTATTACTACCGATATGTAAAACGTCTTGGCTGAGCTTTACTCGTATCGGTGGACCTCATTCCGTTTCTTTCATGCAAATAAATGGGACAGTTGGCGGTTCTGTGTGTGAGGGAGAGGGCTTTTGTTGGAGCCCTGAACAGTGACACTATTGTGCAGCACAAACTCGAATGGCGCTTCTCTCTCTCTGTTTGGTCAGAAACAATGAGCAGAGATGATAGATCTTCTTAAAAAAGAGGAAACGTGTGTAGTTTGTCACAGCTAATCTTTCACATCTGAAAAACTCTTCTGTCTGTCTGTTACTGCGTGTTGTGTTGAGTGAATAAATGCAGAAATACTCCAGGATTAGAATGTAAACACAAACAGTCGTTTCAACTGTTTGTTTTCAGTACATTTGAAATTATATTAATTTTCTCCAGCAATGTGTTTCTCAAACAATCGATCAACTTTCAGAGTAGACACAGCTGGACTCTGTCTCTCTCTGATCAGATGTGTCTGCTACACTGGATCAGTTCTGACACTTTGGTAGACAAATTTACATCGGTTTCAAAACATAAACATACTAATTCATTGTAGGACTATAGAACTAACTGAGGAAACCGGTAAAATTTTGTCTTAGAAATAGTCAAAACATCTTTTTTTGTTTGTATTTTTTTTAGTCTTTTTGCTTATTTACTGTAGAATCAGCCTTTTCTTGCCCCCTCATCTAGAACATGTGTGAGCTGCTGTCAGAGCGTTTTGCTGTCACCACATTCAGCTCTTCATATCGGCTGCTGCTAAATTTAGCCTGATCCTATATTAGGACCATTACGGTAATGCGGG